TAAATAATTTATAAATTTAAAAATTATAATATTTATTATGCACTTGTATATTGAGTAGCACTATTAGTAACAATTGCTGAGATTTGAATATTTTTTTTTTATATCTTTAGTTAACTCTTCAATTTTTAATTGGACTTCTTTTTTTCAACTATGTTCTCTATTTATATCTTGTGTTTTCTAAACTAATACTTTACCTTTAGATATAATCAAGATACTATCCATCAAATTTTGGTTTATTATATTTGTCCATCCATCTAATACTAAAATAATACTGATTTTATCATTTTGAGCTTTTTTTTAATTGATTGAATAATATCAAGACTAGCATTAGTTAAAATTTTTCTACTTAATCATTTTTGTATTGGAAGTTTTAAATTTGGATTTAAAAAAATAAATATTTCTTGAGATTGTTTATTTTTTATCTAATGAAAACTCTATCTATTAGAAATTATTGCTTTTAAAAGCAAATACCAATATTTCGATATTATGCTACATCTAAATTTCGAACTATATATTGATCTAAAGGACCTATTGGCGAATTAGTTAATTTTATAGTAATTATAGATGAATTATCATTATCATCATCTGTTGTTGCTATATTAATATTATTTGAATCTAAATTTTCATCTTCTATTTCAGATTTTAAAAGCCCTTATTATTATATAAAAAAAAATAAATTACAGTCAAACCTCCATAAATGCAATGTGTACAGGCTAGCCTAAAATGTGCATTTAGGGAGGTTTGTATTTAGAGGGAGCCAATCAAATTGCAGCTTTTAATATTTGATCTGCAAACTTGTATAACAAACTTAAATACTGACTTCTGATTGGCTACGTGCATTTAGGTAAGTTAGTATGATATAAAAAATCTTTTGAGTAAACGTGCATTTGCAAAATATAGAACGTGCATTTAGCACTAATGATTTCATACAGCCAAGATAAAAACATGTATTTAGAGAGGTATTGCATTTATGGAGGTTGCATTTAGGAAGGTCTGACTGTATAAATAAATAAGTAAATATAAATATATATATTATACAAATAAATAAATAAATAAAATTTAAATAAAATAATATATATACGATATTTTTTTGTTTTTTTTGTTGTGCTTTTGTAGTTTCACTATCAGTATTATCAAGAATATTTTGTTCTGCTTTTTCTCCATAAATTGCAAAAAAGTTTTTACAATCTTGAAGATGTCATTTAACATATTTTTTAGTGTTTATAATTTTATTCTGATATGCAAATTCAAGAAAAACTTTTTTTTACATAATTTGCATATAGCAAACTTACTGTAAAAATTGGCTTTTTTATTTAATACTTCAATATAAATTGTTAGCTGATATTTTCCTATTTGTTTTATAAACTTCTATATACAAATATAAAATGAAAGTTTAAAGAACAAAAACCAGTTTAAATCTGGTATTTATTAATAAATATATTATACAAACACAAAAATTTTATACAAATATAATTACATAATATTATAGATAAAAAAATTTTTAAGCCAATCAGATAATTAAAATTTATTAAATCTAATAATTTTTGTTCTACTGGAACTAGAATTTTAGTCCAATAGTGTTCTAGTAGAACATTCTAATTTAATGCCCAATACTGGTTGTATTGTTTGCATATACTATTACTTCTATTTTAAGGCTTTGTTGTTAGATCATATTGCTTCTGATATCTTTTGGCTATTCCATCACAATTCAATATTCTGCTCTTTTCTTTTTCTGAATTGCTACCAACAAAGGGTTATAAAATATTCTCCAGATAAAAGGTAATATAACTTCTCCTTGATCTATACTATCTTTTGCAACAAATATTTTTGTGGTTCTTATACTTGTTATAATCTTCATTTCTCTTCTATAATATAGCTATAAAATAAAGCTTTTGTAACTTGAAGCAACTTGATCCTTTCTAGTACTATTTCTAATATCTCTATACTGATTGAGTTGAAAGCCTTTTTCATATTCTGAAAAAGCAACTAGATTTTTTTTTTTGTTCTCTAGTATCTTTTAGCAAACAGTTGATAAAATATATCGGTGCTGCTATTTTTTCTTTTAGAAGACCTGTGAAGTTTCTTCTTTTTAAAATCTCTTTCTCTTGCAGTATTTTACTTAGTCTGTTATTCAAGACTCTGACTACCATTTTTTGAAAAGTTTCTAACAGAAGAATTAGTTTTATATTGTTCAAATTGTAGTACTAGTCTTCTCTTTTAGGTATTAAATAGAGCATGCTTATCTTTTATTTTTTGGATATATATTTTTCTGCTAAACAATTGCTTGCCAAGCTTCTAAATAATTCTTTTGCTTTTTTTTTGCTTTTTTGAGAAGAGAGTATATAATTCTTGTAGACCCTGGTATTAACTTATTTTTCGTATATCTTAGAGCTTTTTCTTATTCTTTTTCTGTTACTTCCTATTCAAGATCTTTGTAGTTTTCAGTATTGATTTTTTTTATTGGTCTATAAACTTCTTTCCAATTTTCATTCATCAT